AGTGCCTATTTTTCCACGTGAATTCGAACTACCAAAATCTGTCGTACGTCACTATGAAGTTATGAGTTCATTCAAAATTTTGTAAGCTTTTCATAATGTGTGGGTTATGGGCTCGAAATGGACACCGTATGCGAAAGTTATACCAATTTCTTCAAATGTCGACAATTCGAGCGTTCCATTTACGCAAGCGCCTTTTTTTTCCACACGAATTCAAACGGCCAATATCCATCATATGTCACGGTGAAGCTATGATTTCATTCAGAATCGTAATGAACTTTTCGAAATTGTGTTACGGGCCTAAGACGGACACCGTATACGAAAGTTATGCCAATTTCTTCGAACGTCGACAATCCAAGCATTCTAGGTACAGAAGCACTTGTTTTTCTACACGAATTCAAACGGCCAAAATCCATCATATGTCATGGTGAAGCTATGAGTTCATTCAAAATCCTCGTTAGCTTTTAAAAATGTGAGGGGGTATGGGCCCAAAAAGGACAACGTATACGAAAGTTAAGCCAGTTTCTTCGAACGTCGACAATCCAAGCGTTCCATGTATGCTAACGCCTATTTTTCCACACAAATTTAAACTACCAATATCCATCATACGTCATGGCAAAGCTATGATTTAATTCAAAATTGTCGTGAGCTTTTCAAAATGATGCTATGGTCCCAAAACTGACACAGTATGCGAAAGTTATGCTAATATTTTCGAACGTCGACAATCCAAGCATTCCATGTATTCAAGCACCTGTTCTTCCACACGAATTCAAATGGCCAAAAGCCATCATACATCCCGGCAAAACCACGAGTTCATTCAGAATTGTCGTGAGCTTTTGGAAACGTAGGGGTTTATCGGTCCAAAATGGACACCGTATGCGAAAGTTATGCCAATTTCTTCAAACGTCGACAATCCAAGCATTCCATATACGTGAGCACCTATTTTTCTACACAAATTCAAACTACCAATATCCATCATATGTCATCGTAAAGCTATGATTTAATCCAAATCTTTGTGAGCTTTTCGAAATGTTGTTATGGGCCCAAAACGGACACCTTATGTGAAAGTTATGCTAATTTCTTCGAACTCCGACAATCCAAGCATTCCATGTATTCAAGCACCTGTTCTTCCACATGAATTCAAACGGCCAAAATCCATCATACGTCCCGCTGAAGCTACGAGGTGAAGCTACGAGTTCATTTAGAATCGTTATGAGCTTTTCGAAATGTGGGGGGTTATGGGCCCAAAACGAACACCGTATCGAAAGTTATGTCAATTTCTTTGAACGTCGACAAGCCAAGCATTCCATGTATGCAAGCGCCTATTCTTTTACACGAATTCAAGCTGCCAAAATCTATCATACATCACGATGAAGCTACAAGTTCATTCAGAATCATCGTGAACTTTACGAAATGTGAAGGGCTATGGGTCAAAAATGGACACCGTATGTAAAAGTTACGCTAGTTTCTTCGAACGTAGACAATCCATGCATTCCACGTATGCAAGCGCCTATTCTTCTACGTGAATTCAAATTGCCAAAATCTATCATACGTCACGAAAAAATTGTTTGTTCATTTAGAATCATTGTGAGCATTCCTAAATGGGGTTATGGGCCCAAAACGGATACTGAATGCGAAAGTTATGCCAATTTCTTCGAACGTCGACAATCCAAGCGTTCCATGTACACAAGCTCCTGTTCATCTACACGATTTCAAACTACCAAAATCGATCATACGTCATGGTGAAGCTACGAGTTCATTTAGAATCATCATGAACGTTTCAAAATTTGGGCGTTTATGGGCCTAAAATGGACACTATATGCAAAAGTTATGTCAATTTCTTTGAACGTCGACAATCCAAGAATTCCATGCATGCAAGCGCCTGTTCTTCCACAACGAATTCAAACTTCCAAAATCCATCACACGTCCCAGCGAACCTATGAGTTCATTCAGAATCATCGTGAGCTTTAGGAAATGTTGGGGGTTATTGGCCCAAAATAGACACCGTATGCGAAAGTTATGCCAATTTCTTTGAACGTCGACAATCCAAGCTTTCCATGTGCGCAAGCGCCTATTTTTCTACACGAATTCAAACTACCAAAATCCATCATACGTCATAGCAAAGCTACAAGTTCATTCAGAATCGTCGTGACCTTTTTGAAATGTCGGGGTTTATTGGTCCAAAATGGAGAACGTATGCTAAGGTTATGCCAATTTCTTCGAACATCGACAATCCAAGCGTTCCATGTACGCAAGCGCCTATTTTTCTACACGACCTCAAACTACCAAAATCCATCATATGTCTCAGTAAAGCTAAGAGTTCATTCATCTTTTCGAAATGTTGGGGGTTAAGGGCCCAAAATAGACACCGTATGCGAAAGTTATGCGAATTTCTTCGAGCGTCGACAGTCCAAGCTTTCCATGTACGCAAGCACCTATTTTTCCATGCAAATTCAAACTGCCAAAATCCATCGTACGTCACGAGTAAGCTACGAGTTCATTCAGAATTTTGTAAGCTTTCCAAAATGTGGGGGTTAAGGGCCCAAAATGGACACTGTATGCGAAAGTTATGCTAATTTCTTTGAACGTCGACAATTCGAGCATTCCATTTACGAAAGTGCCTATTTTTCCACACGAATTCAAACTGCCAATATCCATCATATGTCACGAGAAAGCTACATTTCATTCAGAATCGTAGTGAGCATTTCAAAATTGTATTATGGGCCCAAGATGGACATCGTATACGAAAGTTATGCCAATTTCTTCGAATGTCAACAATCCAAGCGTTCCATGTACGCAAGCACCTATTTTTCTACAGGAATTCAAATTGCTAAAATCCATCATACGTCATGGTGAAGCTACGAGTTCATTCAGAATCATCGTGAGCTTTTTAAAATGTGAGGGGGTCGACATTGCAAGCATTTCATGTATTCAAGCGCCTAATTTTCCACACGAATTCAAACGGCCAAAATCCATCATACGTCCTGGCGAAGCTACGAGTTCATTCAGAATCGTTGTTAGCTTTTGGAAATGGAAGGGGTTATTGGTCCAAAATGGACACCGTATGTGAAAGTTATGCCAATTTCTTTAAACGTCAACAATCCAAACGTTCCATGTACGCGAGCACATATTTTCTACACGAATTGAAACTGCCAAAATCCATCATACGTCATGGTGAAGCTATAAGTTCATTTAGAATCGTCAGGAGCTTTTCAAAATGTGGGGCTTATAGGCCCAAAATGAACACCGTATACAAAAGTTATGCCAATTTCTTCGAACGTTGACAATCCAAGCATTCCATGTATGCAAGCGCATGTTCTTCTGCACGAATTCATACTGCCAAAATCTATCATACGTCAGTGAAACTACGAGTTCATTTAAAATCGTCGTGAGCTTTTCAAAATGTGGGGTGTTTTGGACCAAAAATGGACACCACATGCAAAAGTTATGCCAATTTCTTTGAAGGTCTACAATCCAAGCGTTTCATGTGTAAAATCTCGAATTTTTACTTAGCATTAATTTATTTAATAGGAATGCAATGTTCAGTTAAGTCCTTATACAAGTTAATTGGTTATCTCTATAGTTAATTTGGATCTATGTGAATATCTTTATAGTTGAGGGACCAAAGTGAAAATAAGTTTCAGATTTATACCTTTATTAAATAGGCCAAATAGTTAATTATTGATGGAGTTAGAATTACCCTATCAATATTGGGCTCATTTTAAAGCTCGTAATAAATGGCGAATTATGGACTCAAGAAAAATTCAATTTGGATTCGTTAAACTTGAGTTATAGCCAATTAAGAAAACTACTTAGTTAATAATATTATTTATTAATTCGAGCTAAATTACTATATCAATATTGGACTCTTTTGATAGATAATAATTAATTATATATATTAGGATTAAGAAAAAGATATTTTGGATAAGTTGAATTAAGATAGAATCAATAGAAGAAACAAGATATAAATGAAATTCTAATTAATAGGCATACAGATTTTCGGCCATTAGGAAACTTGAATATGTTGAGTATTGATAATTATAAAATGTAATCAAAAGATAATTAATGAAAATCATAACCATGGTTTTATGGAAACTATTACAAGCTTTTTACTTCTTTAATAGGGAGATTCTATTTTCACGTGTGCCTAAGTTTTGAAATTATAATTAAGGGAATATCCTTTCTAATTAAGTAGGTAGGATTTATGTGGTCTTCCCTTGGCTTAATCGTAAATACTGGTCCAAATAGACCTAGGGCTTATTTGGGAGCGATTTTTTCATCCAAAAAATTGATTTTTTGACCGTCATTTTACTATTCCTGCCGTCGTATTTGATTTCTTCTCTTACAGGTGGACCCCAATTTTCTCCTGACGGTCAAAAAATCAATTCTTAGAATCATTCCCAAACAGACTCTTACTTCCCATGCAGATTTTTGAAGGTACATTTTTAAAGATAATTTACGTGGTTGGGTTTGAAAAGGATTAACAGAAACCTAATCAATTTTGCTGGCATATGACTCTAGTTTTCCATTTTCAATAGGAAAACAAGTTTATCCTTCCTGTGCACGTCATTTTTCTTTTAACTTCAGTTCCACGTGGCTTCTTATAGGTTAACGAACTCTTTATGTTATTTATGTAGTCTATTATCTAATTTAGTTTATGGTTAATATTTAATTAGTATGCATAAACTATTAGTTATTTTAGACTAAACTTATCCTAATGATCACGTGTGCAAAGGATATGCTCCAGTAATGTCTCCTCATTATTATAGTAGTTGGTTTGGGCACCAATATCAAAAGTTAATCCCCAAGTCAGATTATATCAAACAGGAGGTTAGGATTTCCAAACCAAATTTCTGGGATGTACTTGGACGAAATTTAGAGTTCTAATTTCAGTGAAATTCCACTCCCCACGTGATTACCCTACACCGTGGTTTAGTATAAATATAGCACTAAGCCTCAAGCATTCAGTAATTAATTCCTCATTCTTCTTCTGCGCGTCTTTATTCTCTCCTCCTCTTTAAAAATATTTCTCCATATTATTAAGGCTTTTTGAGGTTTTGGAATTTCAATAAAGAATCACGTTTTCAGCAATTTTGTTTTCCACGTTCATCTTCAAAAGGTGAGATGCTCAGTGCTATTAGTGGTTTGTCCACATCTTTTCAAATACGTTGTTATGTATGGATTTAATTACTTCAATTCAGAGCTCCTTTGGGAGAAATCATGATACAGTTTAAGGCACAATTTAGCCTTCACGTTATTTGCAGCGCTTGCTTGAATTATCATTTGTCATGGTGTGATAATTCTCATGTTATGTTGGTAAGAGAATTTATGCATAATTTCACGTTTGATTTGAATGTGGAGTAGCAAGTATCTCATTGAGTATAATTCGTTATACTCATCCCTCTCTATTTAAAATTTTCAGGTAGAAATTAGTATGCTGGACGGCGATGGATGGATGCATATTGGACCAATGGATCTCCATCATGAAGTACTTTAATTATTAGAAACACTAGAATATTTATTAACATTTGATTATTATTATTTTTAAATTTAGACTCAATTGTGAGTCACGTCATAACTTTCAATTAGTCCTATTTTTATTATTTGTTAGAACTACTTTTATTAATGTTTGATAAAAGATATGATTCCAAATTGTTCCGCATATGTTATTTAATTTAATTTACCTTTTGTTAAGGTTGTTCAATTTTTACTGAATTCCTCGTTATATTAAAATGTATTTGCCTCAAGCACTTTATTAATCAATTCACGTTTGGTAACGTTCCGGGTTGCTAGAGAATTCGGGGCGTTACATCATGTATGCAAGCACCTAGTTTTCTACACGAATTCAAACTACAAAAATCCATCATACGTTACGATGAAGCTACGAGCTCATTCAAAATCATCATGAGCTTTTTGAAATGTGGGGATTTTGGACCCAAAATGGACACCGTATTCAAAAGTTATGCCAATTTTTTCGAATGTGAACAATCCAAGTGTTCCATATACACAAGTGCCTATTTTTCCACACGAATTCAAACTACCAATATCCATCATATGTCATGGCGATGCTATGATTTCATTTAGAATCTTTGTGAGCTTTTTGAAATGGTGTTATTGGCCCAAAACGAACACAGCATGCGAAAGTTATGCTAATTTCTTCGAACGTCGACAATCCAAGCATTCCATGTACGCAAGCGCCCGTTCTTCCACACGAATTCAAATGGCTAAAATCCATTATCAATCATGGGAAAGCTACGAGTTCATTCAGAATCATCGTGAGCTTTTTGAAATGTGGGGGGTTATGGGCCCAAAATGGACACCGTATGCGAAAGTTATGCCAATTTCTTTGAACGTCGACAATCGAAGCGATCCATGAACGCAAGCGTCTATTCTTCCATATGAATTCAAACAACTAAAATCCATCGTATGTCATGGAGAAGCTATAAGTTCATTCAGAATCGTTGTGAGCTTTTCGAAATGGGATTATGGCCCCAAAACGAACACTGTATGTGAAAGTTATGCCAATTTCTTCGAATGTCGACAATTCAAGCATTAAATGTACACAAGCGCCTATTCTTGTGCACGAATTCAAACTGCCAAAATCCATCATATGTCATGGCAAAGCTATTAGAATCATCCTGAGCATTTCGAAATGGTGTTATGGGCCTAAAATGGATACCGTCTGCAAATGTTAAGCCAATTTCTTCGAACGTCAACAATCAAAGCGTTCCATGAACGTAAGCGCCTGTTCTTCCACATGAATTCAAACTACCAAAATCCATCATACATCAAAGTGAAGCTGGGAGTTCATTCTGAATCATTGCAAGCCTTTTGAAATGTGGGGGTGTAAGGGCTCAAAATGGTACGAAAGTTATGCCAATTTCTTCGAACGTCGACAATCCAAGGGTTCAATGTACTCAAGCGCCCGTTCTTCTACACGAATACAAACTGCCAAAATTCATCATACATCATGATAAAGCTATGAGCTCTTTCAAAATCATCATGAGCTTTCAGAAATGGTGTTATGGGCCCAAAACGGACACCGTATGCGAAAGTTATGCCAATTTCTTCGATCTTCGAAAACCCATACACTCCTTGTACGCAAGAACCTGTTCTTCTACATGATTCAAACTGCCAAAATCCATCATACGTCATGGGAAAACTATGAGTTTATTTAGAATCATCGTGAGCTTTTTGAAATGTAGGGGGGTTATGGGCCCAAATTGGACATCGTATGCAAAAGTTATGCCAATTTCTTCGAACCTCGTCAATCCATTCGTTCCATGTATACAAGCCCCTATTCTTCTACATGAATTCTGTCACACCCCCAAATTAATATTGATATCTATACACAACCTAGACATAGAATTTTACATATATTTTTTTTTTGAGTTTGTTAACTTCTAATCACCTGTGACATGATCATATAATATATCGAAACTCAAAACCATATCGCCATAATCCAACATATATATTCAGAGCTTATAAACATGTCTATAGGCCATTTCAAAAGTACACTATATAGGATTCCAAAATATAACCCTACAGATGGCAGCCTACAAAATAAACCTACAGGTCGTCATCCATGTACATCGAACTCTAGAATCCTGTAGGAGCTCCAGAGCTAGCCATGCTCTCTATGTAGTTCCATGTTCACCTACAATGCAAGAACTACATAAGCCAATGCTTAGTAAGCAAAATCATGCATGTCCTGAACATGAGTAATAACGACATACGACACCATGCCATTTACTTTAAATATCACGATAAAAAGTATCATATTTCAATATTCATCAAAGTCGACTAGAAATCATTTCACTTGAAATCTTTCATTTCATTGGGCCCTTGACCCACCTACTATGCACCGGATAGAGCTCTACATAATATCAATATCAATAATCAAGTGGCCAATATGAAATCGACACCGACGAGTGGACCATCCTCTCGTGACCACTAGAGGCCCATCCCCTAACTCCCCCTATGATCACCTAAGAAGTCTCCCACCCGGCAGCGCCAATAATCATAACAAGGGCATAGTCGAGTGGTCCGCCCTTCCGTGATCACCAAAGGCCCATCCCCTATCTACCTTTGCAATCACCCAGGAAGTAACACCCGCAATGCCAAACATATCACATAAGCATGCCTCACATGCCTCGGTGCCCTAGTAGTGGTCAATAAAACATTTATAATGAGACTCACTTTGAAATCATGTTTTGCATGCAGGATTTTCAACCATGTCACATGTCGTGCATGCATATGAAAATGCTCATGAATGACATGCTTAATGGAAGTTGTTGTCAATGTATTTTGCAACCGCACACTCAATGATCATAATCATCATATAGCGTACAATGAGCTTTCTTATCAAAGTATGAAAATATCCTGACATCACTATACCACAAATGCTAGGTTCTTGCATCATAGTTGCAAAATGGATTTTTACTTACCTTTCGCCTTTATGTGTGTAAGCTCCTATGGAGTGTGTATCAATTTCCTTTTTCGCTCAACGTCGAAAAGTCACCTGTATTGTCATCTAATATTAAATACACTCCTCCATTTAATAATCTTAACACACACAATCCCAAAATACGTCCATTCACGCCAAAACAATTTAGAAAAAATCATTATTTCAAGTTACCGATGGCATTACAAACTAATCCCATAAGTCTCGCTATCTCTCGAGTCCAATTATGGACGTCAACGTCATCCAATTGTTTTTGACAACCTAGTATTCCTTAGGATATATTTTCTAGGCCCAAGAGTTCATTAGGGGACATCTAAATGTTGAAATCACATTAAATACCCGAATGGACAGAATCTGTTTTCTAGGTTTCCATCACCGTCCACTCATTTTTCAAATTATTTTTCATGTCCTTACCTACATTTAACGGTTCCCAGACTTTTACTACACAGCTATAACATATATGTGAAGATAATCAGATCATAACATTGTGACAAATGAAGTGTTTGGAGCTTCAAAAACAGTCCATTTTCCACTACACAAAATCAGGCAGTTTTTCCCTTTGACTGTTTTCAGTTTCCATTTTATTATTATGATACCAACAGAATTCTAGGCCATTAAAATCATTTCTACACTCCCTACTTACATATAAAAACGTTCATATTGACATATATAAGTTAAACACTAAGTATCATCCCAAAATCAAGGTATAAATCACTCAATCCAGCAATTCCTCATCTCTGTCCAGATTACTTTCTTTCAAATTCTTGCAATTAATTACCCCTATTTATGCATCATAACATCATTAAGAACACTCCAAATTAATTACAAACAAGTTCAGATGTTTAAGAAATCATAAACCCCTTAAGAAATAGTAGAAACAAACCTCAAAACTGTGGAGTAACAAAGCTGTTCAGAAATTCCAGCTTCTTGTTTCTATTTCTCTTTGACTGTTTCACCCTCTTTTCACTTGGAATCACTTAGGGACGAGCTAAGGGAGTTAATATATTATCTAGGAGGTAAATGAGTGGTCTTTAAATGGTTGAAGTCGTGCATATTAGTTAAGGATTAAGAATATCATGGGCTGCAACCACCTCAAGCAATCAAGGTGAGTCACTAAGCAGGAGCTGTCATCTTGGCTGCAATACTTGACTTTTCTACCATTATTTTTGTGTCCATTTATGATATTTAAGATATATATTCATCCTATATTAAGTCCTTGGGGATTAGACACGAAATTTATGCCTTAAGGTTGAAGCAATTATATATTAAAGTGAAAAGTCCTCTAGTATGAGCTGTCCAAGTAGGAGGTGGCTTCTTGCAGCCAACTTTGACTTCTCCCTTGCACCACATGGAGCCATATGTGACTTAGAAGAGTTATAAATATCTTGTGTAAAGTTCTAAGGACTTATAGGACGTGTTGGAGGCTTAAGGTTGAAGGAATTAGAGGTTAAAGTGGCAAGTTGTCACATGTTAAGTAGGTGTTGTCTCCTTTGATTAAATTCTGATTTTACATCTATCCTTGTAGGTATAAATCAAGTGTCATTCGTTTATTTTGATGTGCTTACAATCTATTTCACTTGCATTAAGATCCCAAAGTACTTTATAGATCTAATTCCTCAGCTGTTCATTTAATTTCTTACCCAATTCTCAACCGATTTCAACAATTCGCATCTCAATACTTATAATGTCGTATAAGACATATATTATTACGTTGTGATAATGTCACTTCATCCCTCATATCACAAATATGTGAATTACCTATCTAGGGTTTAAGGTGACCTTGATTAGCCGAATGGAAAGCTTGAACCTTCGTTGATACAAATTTTCGGCCTTTCAAATATTACATTACTTACCAAGCCAATCTCCAACATTTAGTTAATCTAACTTTCTATCATAGCTCTATATAAAATTCACCACCTAAATCGAAGAGTCGAAGGTTATCATCATGTAAAGATTTTAAAGCCTTGATGATCAAATGCATCATTTTAAGAGAAGGCAATCAGGAAATTGATACAAATGACAATGTAATTAGCATGAAATGCATGAATCATATTGGCCAAATGTAGAACGTGAAGTTCGGGGTATTACAAATTCAAACTACCAAAATCCATCACATGTCATGGCAAAGTTATGAGTTCATTCGGAATCATCGTGAGCATTTCGAAATGGTGTTATGGGCCCAAAATGGACACCGTATACGAAAGTTATGTCAATTTCTACGAACGTTGAC